TCCTCTCTCCCTCTCCCCTGCCTCACATGCTCCCTGTCACAGCCTGGCCTGAGTGCATAATTCTCTCAGAGGAGGAAGCAGCCCATGCTCGCCTAGATTTGCAAAAACCTAGATCTGCAAGAGAGCAGGAAAATCCAGGATTGGAAGGCAGTCTTGCTTCCTTCCCCTGGGAGAATCCTGACTTCCTGGTCCCTCCTTCCATAGTGTCACACTGCCCAGGGACTGCCTCCAATGTGGGACTCAGGCACAACAAATCTACGAGTGTGTCACAGCCCTTCATTTCATCACCGTGGAACCTAAAGCCAGAGAGGAAAACCGTGGAAATACAGGGGAACAGGCTCAGCCAGGCAAATTAGGGCTGCCCTCTTGCTCTTTAATTAGTTCTCTTCTGTGTGTGAAATTGCTCTGCAGGACATCTGCTAGGGTGGTGTTGAAGGTCAGGGTCCTGTGACCTCCAAGCCACCTTTGTTCACCAGAGTTGGAAAGGCTTGAATCTGCCCTGTTATTTATTGCTTAGGGTTACACTTTGTAAGGAAGTGCCTTAATAAACACCTTTTCTGCATCCTGGCAGCTGCCAACTGCCCTTCAGTCCCTCACATTCTGGTTAGCAGCCAAGTGTATTAACCATCTGTACCTCCCGGGGACTCTCATTTGTAAAAGTGGGGTGATACTGCTTTCTCCTCTCCTCATCAGGGTCAGATATTGATAAGAGAAGCTCAGATTGTTGCTGGTATGTAGAATCCTCAAAGCTCATTCACACATATTCACATACACACACACACACACAGACACATCCTCAATGCCATCAAGTTGGTTCTAACTCATAGCAACGCTCCATCAAGTTTCTGGGGCTGTAAGTTGAATTCTAAGGCGCGTGCTCTACTCACTGGCGACCCTCCTGTGTATTTCCAAGGCTGCAAATTACACGGAAGGAGATGGCCCACCTCCTTCCCACAGAGCCACACACTGGGGGATTCAAACCGACAGAAAGGTCCGGCCTTTTTTGGTGAGCAGTATAACTCCCAGTGGACTCTGCCACCAGGCGAGTTTAGATAAACTTTAGGAAGAGACTAAGTGACCGATGTCCAACAATTAGTCAGTGACAACATCACGGGTCACAGCAGAACATTGTCTTTCTATAGAGGCGTCCATCACTCATGAGTTAATATGACGTCATATTTTGTGTATTGTGTAGGTGAGGACTTCGGTGGTGTGAAATGGCACAGCAGCTCTGACAACGGACTCACATATGCCGGCAATCAGGAGAATGATAGAAGGCTAGGCAACAGTTTATCCTGATGCGTGGAAAGTCACCCCAGGGCTAAGCAACATTTGCTATTGTAAGCTTCATCAGGATTGAAGTCATCTCAGCGGTAGCCATCTCTCCTGTCTATGGGATAGAATAGGTGAGAACACTATCTGAACCATGAAGTCCTGCAGAGCTGGGAAGCTCCATTCATACAAGAAATCCTGTGGGGATGCCACGGATCGCTGTCCTAGTCACTGATGACGTGTCAAACCCATGAAAGTACCACAGGAAGTCACGATTAAGGCCAAGGGCACCATACCTGTTGACTCCTGTGTACACCGTATCTGAGGTCATTGACGAAGTGCTCGCAGTTCCCCTCAATCAGGCTGTACTGCACGGTCTTGTTGACCATCATCTTTGTCCGCTGAATGATCTTGTCCACTGGCAGAGGCACGTATGTCCCATCGAGCTTATTGTTGATCTTCCAGGAGCAGCCATGCAACACGTCCTCCAGACGGCTGTATTTTACAATGGCTCGGTTGCTGAAGACAGAGGTGATGCTGCCGACTTCAAATTCCTCACCTAGAGACCAAAAACAAACTAAAGGTGGAGTGTGGCTGTGGGTGCTGCACTGGCTCACTCCAAGACTAAGCCAGAAAGGGCAGTCCCCTCCTCTGAAGATTTACCCCCTTAGACACCCCACTGTTGTGTTGTTGTTAATTGCCGTTGAGTCGAGCACGACTCACAGCAACCTTGTGAACAAAAGGCCTGAAGCCTTTCTATAATTCTCAACATTTATCAAAGTTCATAGAGTTTCCAGAAGCACGTTGTTTAGGAAGTGGATGCCACTCCTGCTTCCAGTATACAGCAGTGCTATTCTGACTTACAAGTTTACGATGAGTTGAAATCAACTGTTAAGTGGCTTTTTGGTTTTATCATTAACTTATTATTATTATTATTATTATTATTATTATTATTATTATTACCATCATCATCAAGTTTGACTCATGGTGACCCCATAACAAAAGATCCTATTTCTACCCATTCCAAAGAAAGATGATCCACCAGAATATAGATTATAGAACAATGTCATTGCCACCAATGATACAGTCATAATGTAAGCAGAATCTTTTGGGAAAGAATTTTAAAGTAACTAGAACAGTACATCAACATGGAGCTTCCAGAAAGTGAAGCTGAATTCAGAAAGTATGCGAAACAAGGGATCTCAGAGCTAACAAAGTTAATCGTGGCTGAAAGCAGAGAGTATTAGAAAGATGTTAACCTGTGTTTTATTAACTATGAAAACACTGTGTGTCCCATCAAATGATAAACAACACCAGGAAGAATGGAAAAGTGGGAGCAAAGACCAAGAGGGACTCGTTCAAGTAGAACAAGGGGAAACTGTGTGGTTCAAAATCAGGAAAGGTTCAAAATCATGATGCATCAAATGGTGTCATTTTACTGTACCTGTTCAACCGCTATGCTGAATAAATAATGTGAGAAACTTGACTATAAAGTGAAGAAAGGGGCATCAGGATTAGAGGAAAGTTCATCAACAAGTCACCATTTACAGATTATCCAACCCTGCTTGTGGAAAGTAGCACACATTCACTGGAGATCAAAGAAGACAGCCATTGGTAATGACTAAACTGCAATATAAAAAACCAAACCAAAAAGAAAACAAAACACCTCTTCACAAATGGGCTGATACTCAACATCATAACACATGAAGAAAAGATTGCCATTTTCAAGGACTTTCTTTTCCAAAATCAGCACTAATGGGATCAGCAGTTAAGAAAGCAAGCAATGGAGGACAACAGGCAAGTATTCTGCACGAGAATTTTTTAAATGTTAAAAACCAAAGACATCAGGGAGCTCTGGTGGCCTAGTGGCAAGAAGCTGCACTGCAATCCCAGAGGCGCATGGTTCAAACCCACCAGATCCTCTACGGAGAAGGAGGAACAATCTCCTCCTGTACCAGTCAGATCTGATTTGATGGTATACACACACACACACACACACACACACACACACACACACAAACCCAAAACAAAACCAACCAAAAACAGAGACATAATATTGAGGACTAAGATGTGCCTTGCCCAAACTACAGTATTTTCAACTGCCTCATATGCATATGAAGCTGGACAATGAATGAGGAATACCAAAGGATCAATGCCTGTGAACTATGTGATTGTGGTGAACTAAAGAATTCCAATTCTCTGGATGCCAAAAGAAGAAACAAATTTGTCTCAGAAGAAGTACAGCCAGAATACTCTTCAGAAGGATGGTGTGATTTTGTCTCATAAACATTGGATATATTATTAGGAGAGATCAGTCCCTGCAGAAGGACATCACGCTTGACAAAGCACAGAGTCGGTGGAAACCAGAAGCCCTTCAACTGGAAGGGTTGACACCGGGTTCCAATGTTCTTAGCAATGATTGTGACTATGGCTCCGAACTCAGTGCTTCATTCTATTTCACTTTATTGTACATAGAAACAACTTGGCAGCACCCAACATTGAACTGCTGTCAATTCAAAATAGAGATTCAGAGCTCTGCTGGCCTAGTGGCAAGAAACTGCACTGCAATCCTAGAGGTATGTGGTTTGAATCCGCCAGATGCTCTGCTGGAGAGGGAGGGGCAATCTCCTCCTGTACCAGTCAGATCCGATTTGACAGTACACACACACAAAATAATAAAATTAAATTTAAAAAAATAGAGATTCAAGCTCTTACATTTGTATTTTAAAACAAAGGATGTCTTAGTAAGCCAGGAGCTTGAACAGTTCTGGACACTTTATTAGACACCCAGCGATTATTAGAGCATTAGTAAGCATTAGAGTAGTAGAGTTTTACATTGTAAATAAGGTCCAGTCATATTTGAGGGTGTTTTATTGCTAAGAAAGCAACAGCTGAGGAACACGATTCATCACTTCAAGATCAGTATTTCAACACAGTCTCCACTCTTACATGGGGAAGCCAGATGCACCACGTAATCATCTTCTACGTAGATGGCCCAGTGCTCATAGCCAATTCGAAAAATTTCAATCAGGTCTCCAGGTCTAGGCTTTGGTTTGCCCTATAGTGGAAAACAAAAGAAAAACAGACACAGACTTGGAACTTGCCCAAGGAATTAGAGACCTAGGGAGTTGCTGCAGCTCAGCCTAAGGCCCCCTCACCGTTGATTATCATTTTACTCAAGTTGGAGCAAGCTGCCTTCACACAATGGACCAAACCACACCCCTTCTCCTGTTAGCACTCTTGTCATCAGAAGCTGTGTGTGCTACTTGTTCACCTACTGCCTCTTAACTCCAAATGGACCTCCAATAAACATCTTGGATTAACAATGGAAGTCCCTTAGGAATTGCTTCTTTAAAATTAGTAAGATGTGTTCTCAATAACTTTCTCAGTAGACAGTGAGGGGAGGACATTACAAGCAGGAAGAGCATTTCCTGCAATTTCTGGCCAGGGAGGGGGACAATCAGTGGTCATTAATGAGGACAGTCAGTGGACAATTCCTGAGTTCCCACTCTCAGAGCCTCAGCACTCTGCCAGCCTCAGCTTCTCTGAGATCCTTTGGACAGAAAAATCAGTGACCAAAGGCCTGCTGCCCACATGGGTCCACTGAGTCCCACCTCCCTTGCCATCCCCACCCCTGAGGCCCCCATGAGGCCTGCTAGTTTCCCAGAGAGCCTTCCCCTCGTCTGTCCATCCGCTTGGTCAGTTATTGGCCAGCAGTCTTCCATCTACATCTAGAAGGCTGTATTGCTTTTCATCTGATGCTTTCTTAGCATTCATTTCTTTCATTTTTATATTCTCTAGGTAACGAGTTATTGTCATTCTACTTACATTTACTTCTTTAAATGTTATTTATAATAGCTCTTTTGAAGTCTTTGTCTGAAAGACCCAATATCTGGGTCCCCTAGGAAACAATTTCTATTGACTTTTCACCACTGGACCTATAGGCAACATCACTATAGATGGAGAAAAGATTGAAACTCTCAATGATTTCATCTTGATTGGGTCCTCAATCAACACCCATGGCACCTGCAGTCAGGAAATCAGATGTATCGCACTGGGAAAGTCTGCAGTCAGAAACCTCTCCAAATCATTGAGGAGCAATGCTGTCAGTCTGAGGACTAAAGTGTGCCTGACTCAAGCCATGGTCTGTTTAATCACTTGCTGTGCATCTGAAAGCTGGAAAATAAATAAAAATAACAGAAAAACCAAAGGCTCTGAGTTGTGGTGTTGGAGAAGAGCACTAAATATCCCAGGAAAGGCCAAAAGAACAAACTGTTATGTCTTGCATGGATGATAAAGCTTTGTCTCACATACTCTGGGCATGTTGCTAAGAGAGACTATTCACTGGAGAGGGACATCATGCTTGGAAAGGTACAGGAGCAGTAAAAGAGATGTTGCCCCTCAGCCGATTGGGTTGACACAGTGACTACAGCAGTGGGCTTGAGTGTGGCAGAGTTTGTGAGATGGCACAGGACAGGACAGGGTTCCGAACTGTTGTTTGTAGGATCACCGTGGGTCATACTTGATCTGACAGCACCTAATAACAAACTTGTCCAAAGCTGAATGGAAGATTTCGAAGGGCAGCCAAGTATTATCATGAAATGTGAAAAGAGCTACCATTAGAAAACCAAAAAATAAAAAAAGAACATTTGTCATGTCTCAAGGCAAAAGAAGGAAAGTAAAAAAGTCAATGTGGCAATTAATTAAAGGATCCTGTGGGAAAAATATTGTTTGATGCAGGAAGTACAAAAAGAAGATGGAAGGAATAAATAATCTCCGTACCAAAAAGAAGCAATCTATGCTGACCTAGCATATATTAAAAAAACAGTATAACTGCAGACTTTCCTTCCCAATGTAATATGTCGTCTGATCTCCTGAATGCTGATACCAAGGGTGTGGACTGTGGATCCAAGTAAGATGAGGTCATGGACAATTTCAATCTTCATCAATCATATTTATTAGGACAGCAAAAAATGACAAAGATAGAATACACCATGTTGATAAGGGTGTAGAGAAACTGGAACTCTAATACATGCTGATCAGAATGTAAAATTATAGAGTCGTGAGGAGGAAATCTAAGTTAAACGTACCCAGACTATGCAAAGTAACCATTTCAGTTGGAGATATTCAATCAAGAGAAGAGAAAGCATGTCTATGCAAAAATATGTACATAGATTTTCATAGTAACTTTAGTAATATTAGCCAAAAATTGGAAACCACCAAAATGCTAGTGGACAAGTCAAAGTCTAAACTAACAAGTATAATTATATATCTGTATCCACCCTTCTATCTATCTATTTCTCTATCTATCTACCAATCGGTAAATATACTTCTAAGAAAATGTTATTGATAGCATAAATAATATGATATGAATGTAATTTAAAATAATTATGTAGAGTATAATGAGTTGGGGAGGCAAAAGATGATTTTTTGAGACATTGTGATTCCATTTAAGTATCTAAATAGGGCAATCTAATCTACAGCAACAGAAAGAAAATCCATTGTTGCCTGGCACAGGGAAAGGAAGAGATTGCTAAGGGTTACAAGAAAATATTATCTTGATAGTTGTAATGGTTTCATGGATGTTGATATAATCAAAATTTAACAAACTGCACATTTTAAAGAGGTCACTGTATCTCAATAACTTATATCTTAATAAAGCTGCTTTTCTTACAGAAAGGGAATAACCAACAATCCCAAGGCAAAGTGTGGTTCATTTTATCACACAACCTAACTAAAGTAACATAGAACACGGATGAAAATCGCTGGGAAGCTATGTATGCTTGGAGACTGTGACACTTGCCTTAGCTGTTTCTTTCGTTATCTGCACTGGACTCTCGGGCTTCACGGATGGATTAGATTCTGCCCTCTTCAGGCTGGGGTTAATATCCAAGTCAACTTCAGTCTTCTCCCTAATGAATTTCACACAGCGTTTTGCAATTATCAAAATACAGGTGATTACAGGCCACTTCATATCTGTGACTTCTGTGAGGTTTTATTTTAGATTCTAGAAAAATATTTTCCTCTAAAATTGTTCCTCCAAAGCTCTACTTGTCATTAAACCCATTGCCATTGAGTTGGAACAGACTCATAGCTGACCCTTCTGCAGGTTTTCAGCGGTTGTGCATCACACGAGAGGAGATTATACATCTTTCTCTCAAGGAACAGCTGGTGGATTTGAATTACCTGCCTTTGAGTTAGCAGTCTAAGTTCTTACCCACTAGGCTACAGGAGCATATCGTGTTATGCAGATGACACAACATTGCTTGCTTAAAGGGAAGAGGACTTGAATGAAACTCATGCTGCAGAAAATCAAAGACTACAGCCTTCAATATGAATTGCATCTCAACAAGAAGACAAAATCCTCACCTCTGGACCAATAAGCAACAGCATGATAGAGGGAGGAAAGATTGAAATTGTCCACGACTTCATCTTACTTGGATCCACAATTAACACCCCTGGTACCAGTAGTCAGGAGATCAGGTGATGAGTTGCATTTGGAAGGCCCACTGTCAGAGACCTCTCCAAATTACTGAGGTACAGTGATATCAATTAGAAGACTAAGGTGCTGATTCAGGCCATGATTTTTTCAGTCACTTGCTATGCATCTGAAAGTTGGTCAATGAATAAGGATGACAGAAGAAAAAAATGATGTCTTTGAGCTGTGGTTTTAGAGAAAAGTATTGAATATATCTCCTTGACTGCCAAAAGAACAAACAAATATGCCTTGGAGAAAGTACAGCCAAAATGTTCCTTGGAGGCAAAGATGATAAAGCTTTGTCTCACATATTTTGGGCATATTGTTAGGAAAGGCGATCCCTTGGATCCCTTGGAATGGAACATCATGCTTGGAAAGGTGAAGGGTCAACAAGAAGGACTAATATGGTGACTGCAACAATGGACTCAAGGAGGTTAGAGATGAGGATGGCACGGGACAGGACAGGGTTCAGATCTGTTCACAGAGTCACTATGGGTTGTATTCAACTGGACAGCACCTAACAACAACAACATTTCACAAAAAATAATTGTTGTTTATTGCTTTTCTGACAATGGTTGACAAGTACACAAATCAATGAGTAGTTTTCAGGATGTTTTAAGATTTGCTAATAATCCTTTCAAATGCTGATTTCAAAATATTTACACATGAAATACATGGTAATGGTTCAATGAAAAACAGATGAGTTAGGATTTTTAACCTAGAGAATTGCTTAGTGTTTGTTAAGAATGTTTCTTGTAGGGAGCTCTGGTGGCCTAGTAGTAAGAAGCTGCACTGCAATCCCAGAGGTATGTGGTTCAAATCCACCAGATGCTCTGCTGGAGAAAAAGGGGCAATCTCCTCCTGTGCCAGCTGGTTCTGATTCGATGGCACAGAACAAACTAAAAAAAGAAGAAGAAGAAGACTGTTTCTTGTTGTAATGTGCTGTCAAGTTGCTTGTGACCCATAGCGACCCTATGTACAAGAGCCCTGAAACCTGCTCTGTCATGTGCCAACTTTACTGCCTCTGACACACCTAACCTTTTTACCCCAGTCATTGTTGATGATCTTCCTCTCTTTCTCTGCCCAGCCTTTATGTAAAAAAATAATAATAAAAATAAAGAGAATGTTCATGTAGCTGACCTCAGAAAAGACAACTTAATTAGCAGCTTACTAAACAAAACTGCTCATGTAGATGGTCAGTGAAAGAGGAAGACTCTCAACAAGATGGGTTGATACAGTAACTACCACAGTGGACTTGAACGTGACAGAGATCCTGATGGTGCAGGACAGGGCAAGGCTCAGACCTGCCTTTCAAAGAGTCGCTATGAGTCGTGGTCAGCTGGACGGCACCTAATAGCAACAACATATAAAATGAAGTTAGAAACTGTAAGCAACTCTATAGCTACTGTGGATATTATATATATATTTATTATATTATATCCCATTATATATTATATCCTATTATATATTATATCCCATTATATTATATTATATATTATATTATATTATATTTATTATATCAGATTCTATCATATCATATCACATTATATCATACTATATCATACATACTGTATCATATCATGTTATATTGCTATTATTATGCTATCCTAATATACTTTGTTCTTCATCTTTATTCTCAAATAACTAAATAGAATAGCAGATTATAGTAATAAAAATCCTGACTGTTTTCAATACCAAAAAAAAATGCAGAAACAAGGGCGTTCACTTGTGAAAATAAACTGGTTCTCTTAACTGTTCGGCATCAGTTAAACGTCTGAGCCCTTCTTTTTTTTTTGCTCTCCTCCCTCCTGGTTGTCAAATGAGAGGTATTTGCATTTCAAGGTCTCAGATTACAATTAACTTTCCCACTTTCTTAAACATCAGAGTTAATTCTGCAAAAGATTTATCTATTGTCCAAAGAAGTGGCCCCTTCAGACTAAGAATCTCACCCTTGTTTGCCGCTTTTCATCTGATCTGATGTGCCCTGCTGAGGTGACGTGGGCGTCTTGGGCGACTGGGGTGGAAGTTGAATTGACGTCTGGCATCCCAAGGATTCCTCTAATTGAAGAGGGGGGGGAAATTATTTTAAAACCACAATTGTCGATTGTTGCTGTTGTTGTTATGTGCTGTCGAGTTGCCTGGGACTCATGGTGACCCTATATGTACAATAGCCGTAGACCTTGCTCTATCCTGTGCCAATCTCACTGTCTCCAACACACCTATGCCGATTACCTCAGTCACTGAATCCTGCGCTGTCCCTCCACCCTCCCAAGCATGACATCCTTCTTCAAGGACCAGTCCCTCCTTGCAACATGTCCAAAGCATGTCAGACGAAGCTTCAGACTCCTTGCCTCCAAGGAGCAGCCAAATTTAACTCTCTCTTGGATAAACTTGTTTGTTCTCTTAGGAGTCCATGGTACTCTTCTCCAGCACCACAGCTCAAAGGCATCATCAATTCTCCTTCTATCCTCCCTAGTCATTGTCTAGCTCTCTGACAGATAGCAAGTAATTGCAAAGACCATGGCCTGTGTCAGGTGCACCTTAGTCTCCAAAGTGACACCATTGCTCTTCAGTACTTGTCGATTGGGAGGCTTTAACCTGTGAGAGGATTCAAGCGCCTGGAAGCTGTGCAATGGCAGCCTCATTATTCTAATCCAGAACCTTAGCTGCTTCCTGCTACGCCCCCAGGATACTTGCAGATGGATGAAAAGAGGAGGGAAGGAGATTCTCAGGTCCTCTGTGACAGAGAAACAGGGATGTCCAGGAGATAGGGGAGATTGGGAAGGCAAGATGCTGCTCCCCCAGACTAACAAACCCCTTCATCCAGCCTCAGACCCTCAGAAGAGGCTGTAAAGCCAAGTCGGGAACAAGCACCTCTGTCTCACTTCCACCTGAAATGCGGGAAGAAGGTCCTGGATACACACCGGGTCACTTGATCACTATTATTGTTGTTGTTGTTGTTATTGTTGTTGTTGTGTGCCCTTGAGGAACCATGGACTCTAGCTGACCCTCCAGCCAGTTTCCAGAGGCAGGAAATAGTGGCCCCTGTTCTCCCACCGTGTGCCTGTTGAATTCTAACCTCGCATGATACCACGAGGCCACCAGTGCTCCCTCCTGACTCAGTAGGTAAGAACTAGTGATGATTAGTAGACACTGTGGTTGTTCTGGGTTACCAATTCATAGCTCTTGGCAGGTCTTTTGCACAATCAAACAGTGACCACAGTGACTTTTCTGAGGGTCCAAAACCTTCCTGAGCCGTTACCTATAGTGATGAGAACCTTGAGATGACCTGAGGGCCTGGGCGGGGGGTGCCTACGGGGAGCACCTCCCTTCGCAGACAAATCGAGGTGGCCAGTCTACCTGAGAGAAGGCTCGACCAGGACCCCTGGGGCCCAAGTACCTGAGGCTGAGCAGTACTTGGAGTTGGGCCGCGGGAACCGTGGCACTCGGAGCCGGTGCTCGCCCTGGGTCACCGGGTTCAGGCCCATCCCACCACCCATCCTGACGTCCCACCAGCTCCAGGCCTTTCAAGTGACAACGGGCCCAGCCTGGTCCCCAGCAGCGCGGCCTGGGTCTACAGAGCTGCCGGGTTCTGGCGCTGGGGCGTCGCCGTGAAGGGCTGCTGTGTTAGGAAGGGGACAGAGGAGACCTGGGAGCTTTGCAAACGGCGGTGGCGCGAGGATAGACGCGCCAGAGAGGAGGGGGCGAAGGGCAGAGGTGTCTGGAAAGGTGGGCGCGCGCAGGAGGCGGACAGAGTGCACGCGAACTTGGCGATGCGCATGTCTGAGGCACTGGGAACACGTCCAGGGGCAGAGATGGCTGCTAATGACTGCACTAGAAGGTTCCAGAGTCTGGGAGTCTCTGAGAGAGCTGACAACAGAAGAAGGTGGGGACTGGGGGTGGTTCCTGGAGTGGAAAGCAGCACAGACTGTGGGAAGGTCTTACACACTTACACACACACACACACACACACACACACACACACAAATCCCCTCTATTGCAGGATTATAAAACACTCAATTTTGGCAATATTTTCATTATTGTTGTTGTTATTTCTATGTGCCATCAAGTCACTTGTGACTCATAGCGACCCTATGTACAACAACCCTAAACCCTGCCCTATCCTGTGCCAATTTCACTGCCTCTGACACACCCATCCCAATTACCCCAGTCACTGAATCAATCCAACTCATAGAAGGTCTTCCCCTTCTACACCGTCCCTCCACCTTCCCAAGCATTATGTCCCTCTCCAAGGACTTCTCCCTCCTTACAACATGTCCAAAGTATGTCAGATGAAGCCTCAGAGTCCTTGCCTCCAAGGAGCAGCCTGGTTTAACCCTCTCCGGGATGAATCTGTTTGTTTTCCTAGCAGTCCAGGGTACAATCAATACTCTTCTCCAGCACCACAGCTCAAAGGCATCAATTCTCCTTCTATCCTCCTTAGTCATTGTCCAACTTTCTGATGCATAACAAGTGATTGCAAAGACTATGGCCTGTATCAGATGCACCTTAGTCTCCAGAGTGACAGCACTGCTCTTCAGTACTCTGGAGAGGTCCCTAACAGCTGACTTTCCCATCACAATACTTTTTTTTTTATTTCCTGGCTACTGGTGCCAAGAGTATTGACTGTGGAGCCAAGCAGACTAAAGTTGTTAACAATCTCAATGTCTTCACCATCCATCCCAATGCTGATGGTTCAGTGGTGCAAATCTTTGTCTTCTTGACATTAAGCTTCAATCCATACTGAAGGCTGCAGTTCTTGACCCTCTGCAGCAAGCATTTCAGGTCCTCCTCGGTTTCAGCAAGCAGGGTTGTGTCATCTGCATAACGCAGATTGTTAATAGATCTTCCACCAATCCTGATGTCACACTTTTCCTCATAGGGTCCAGGCTCTTGGATAATCTGCTCTGCATACAGGTTGAAAAGGTATGGAGATAGGACACATCCCTGGCATACGCCCTTCCCAATTTTGAACCATGCAGTGTTTCCTTGCTCTGTTCTGACGGCTGCCTCTTGGTCCAAGTATAGGTTTCGCATTAGAACGATCAAGTGTTCTGGGATTCCCATTCTTCTCAGAGTCAGCCACAGTTTGTTATGATACACACAGTCAAATGCCTTTGCATAATCAATGAAACACAGATAGACATTATTATACTAGTTTATTTACAAAATTCTAATACATTGTTTACCAGAACAGATTCTTCCAAGTTCCCTCACCCCCCCAATCAAACTGTACAATTCCATGATTGATCCCCTCCCCGCCCCCCATCCTCATCCCTCTGCTTCCATCCTTCCCCCACCCCCCAGATCCTTATACTCATTCTACAATGACGGTTTCATACAAAATTTGTCATTGTGGGATTGAGTTAGTTCACTCAGCATAATGTTCTCCAGTCCCTCCTAAGTTAGGTAATAATTTACAAAATCTTTGTTCCTGTGTGCTGCATAGTATTCCATCATATGAATGCACCATAATTTCTCAATCCATTCGTTTATGGTTGAATATCTGGGCTGCTTCCTTGTTCTTGCGATGGTGAAAATGCTGCTGTGAACACTGGTGCACAAGTCTCCGTTTGTGCCTCAGTTCTCATTTTCTCAGGTATTCCAAGTATTGGAATAGCTAGGTCATTTGGAATTTCTATGTTCAGCTTTCTGAGGAGGCACATTTTGGTAATATTTTACAAAGCACTCTGTTTCATGGATTGGGAAAGAAGTTCAAAAGTAAAGGGGGAAATTTCTACCGACGTTTCTAAAAGAAAACCATCCCGGCCCTTCCACCAAATAAACATCCACACATCACTTCACTTTACTGCCCAAGAAGATGCCACACAGAAAGTAGCAGGTGACCCTCTGGCAAATTCATTGTAGATCACAGCCAGAGACAAAGGGACATTCAGCCATCGTCAGTCAGCATGGTCGGTTGTGCTGATCAGTTCTTTTGTCTTTTTTTTTTTTTAAATATACTTTATTTTATGGTGATTTTAATGAAAGTTTCTAGAAAAGTTGGATTTTCATTCCTTCACTGATGCACATTTTCTTCCCTTCCCCCTCGCTTTCCCCTCTCCCAGTTCACTTTAGTTGTTTATTTTTTTTTTAAATTTAAACACATCATAAACAGCATTTATTACCTTGGTATATCATTCTGGTCTTGTTGATTAGTTGTTTATTTTTTTAAATATTCATTCATTGTTTTATCATTTCCTCACTTCACCCCCTTTCCCCTTCCTCCAGTCCACTTTTCTATTTTTTTTTGTTGTTGTTGTTTGGTTTTTTTGGTTTGTTTTTGGTTTTGTTTTTATTAATTTTAATAGACATTTACAGAGGTTTTCGATTTCCATTCATTCATTGCCACACTTTTTTCCCTGCCCACCCCTCCCCACCAGTTCGCTCCCCTCTCTGAAAAGAAAAAGAAAAAAAAATTTCTTCATTAGTATACAATTCCCCCACCTCTTCCCCCGCACCCCCATCCCGAGTACACTTCTCTATGCAACCTTAATTCTGGATTCCTGTACTAACCATAATACTCAATCATATAGCACCTCTAATCTGTTCTTTTCCTCATCTGTTTCAATACAATATACATAATTTATCCAGTTTTTTTTCTGTCCAGTCCACTTTTCTATAGTGATTTCTTACCCCATTTTGCCTCCATAGCCTCCTGGGTCTCCTCCACAATCTCCACTTCAGTCTCATCCATGGCCTCCTCCGTCACCACCATAGCCTCCTGGGTCTGCACCATAACTACCACGTCTGTCCCCACCATAGCGACCCTGGTCTCCACCTCTGCCCTCACACCCTCTGTAGCCCCTCTCTCCACCATAGCCTTTCTCCTGGAAATCTCCAGAGGGATGAGAGTCCTCTGGTCTAGGGTCATCGCACTGATTGCAGGAATTTCTTCCAGCAAAGTTCATATTTCCACATGACGAATTAGGGCAAGCCCAGCCCTCACCTTCAGGTATCCACTTCTCCCTTGAAAGCCACCACCACCTCTATATCCTCCACAGTCTCGTCGGCCACCTCCACTTCCACCTCCTCTCATGAACTCAGGTCTTCTGCTGGTGAAGGACCCTTTAATGATGTTCCCACAGAATTTTTTTCCGTCAAACAGGTCAATGGCTGCCTTAGCTGAGGGGGGGGGGTCATCCAATGAAACTGTTGCTTCCCCTTTGGCTTCCCTGTATGCTTGTCTGTGTTGAGATTTATCAGCGGTTTTCCAGTCTGCTTGTTCGTCTTGATAATTCCTATTTGCTTAAAGAACTCTGCTGTTTGTTCACCTTCCTAAATCCTTGCACAAAGATTATGTTGTTATCTCAACTACCAGAATCGGAATCAGCATCTGGTCTGAGTCCATAATCTCTGTGACCAGCAAAAGTATTAAGGCCACAGCAGTCCCCACCCCTTGATCCTGTCAGAGGGCCTCTTCCCTCCTTGTCATATCCCCACGCCCTCTGCCTCCTCTCCGTGACGGCCACAGCCCCTTTTATCTTCTCCACACCTACTCACAGCACCATGGTCATCTCGTAAGTGGTGGCTGTAATTGTCTCTTGGCGAATAACAGGATTGCTGGGTCTTATTATGGAATCGTGCAGCTGATCATAACTTGACTGTTCGTCATATGAGCCTGATGTTGGTTATAGCCTGACTGCTGGGCATAAGGCTCTTGTTGACCACAGTCTGACTGGTCATAGGAAGGAGCTCTTCCACCTTGGCCTCCTGATGGTTCCGTGTTCACTGTCCCTGGTTATCAGACTGCTGCCCGTAAAATCTCTGCTTTGATTCTCATCATCACTGGGGGACTGTGAATAAACTGACTGCCCTTGTCCATAACCGGAGTGGCCACCACAATTCTGTCCATATGGGAATTGGCCAGAATTGCTTTGTGGTGCTCATCCACGGCCTTGGTCGCCTTGATTTCCACGGGAAGACTAACTTTGCTGCTCACAGCCAGACTGACGATAACTTCCAGAATCCGACACGACATGGCTCGCCACGGTGCTGAGCTGTCTGTCAAAGCCTGCCAAGAACAAGGAATAGGAGAGCCAGGTGGTGTGGTGGCCGGAGCAGAACAGAGAGGAAGGGCATTGGCAGGCACACCCAGGAGTTAAAACATGGAGAAGTTCATACTTAAAATTATGTACGCCTTATCTGTACTATGATCAATCTCCATAAGGCTCAAGCTCAAAGTTATTGATGAGTCTTCCTCCAATCCTGATGCCACATTCTTCTACGTATAGTTCAGCTTCTCAAATGATTTGTTCAGCATACAGACTGAATAGGTGTGGAGAAAAGATACAACTTTGACAGACACTTTCTCTAATTTTAAACTTGGCAGACTCAGCCCCTACGCCTTGTCTGACTACTGATAGTGAGCTCTCTCTCCACAAATGCAGTCAATCTGATTCCTTCAGTCCATCAGGTGAGCTCCATGTGTATAGCTGCCCTTTGTGTTTTTTTTTAAAAAGTATTTGTGGTGCATAAAGTGCAAAATTCTATCATTTAATCTCCAGCCTCATTTCTATCACCAAGGGCATATTTTCCAACTACCAATACTTCTTGATTTCCAACGTTTGCATTCCAGGTTAGCAATTATTAATGTATCTTGGTTGCATATTTAATCAATTTGTGCATCCAAGTCAGCAGAAATCCCCACTTCCTTAATCTTTTACTTAGTGGTTGGTGTGTTTGTTTGAATAATAATTGTGTTAGGTCTTCCTTGTTGTGTATAGTTAATATCCTGTCATTCACAGCATCGTGTTTCAGGATAAATCCTGAAATGTGATTTTTGAGAATGAATGCAATACCATTCCTCTTCAGTCCTTTTGACTGATTCAAAATTATTAATATTAGTCCATCTCCACTCAGTAATGCCTAGCATGTAGATCTTTACGTGTTCCATTTCATTTCTGACAACATCTAAATTTCCTGGAATCAGACACTGTACGTTCCACTCTGTTACCATTAACGAATGTTTACAGCTGGTTTTCCTCGTTTTCAGTCTTGCTGCATCAGCAGATGAAGGTACTTCACTGGGTGAAAGCTTTACTTCATTTGTCATTAAGATCAGAGGAAGGAGCTCCGGTGGCCTAGAGGATAATGAGTGGTGCTTCGAACACAAAGGCAGCTGGTTTGGATCCACCAGCTGCTTGCTCTTCAGGAGAAAGAGGGGCAGTCTCCTTCCTTGTGATTTAAGGCCTCTGAAAACCCACTGGAGGGTCAGCTATGAGTCAGGTCAGCTCCACTGCAGGTAACTCCTTTGAGGAAGCAACTCTTACCCAGTCGCATTTAGGGACGTGAACAGTAATGTTCTCATAACTCAGTAGGCAGCGCGTCAGTCTCGTGGTGATATGAACACACACAGGGAAACCAGTGCGAGTCAGAGGCCTCCAATTTGCATGCCTTCTGTTCTCAACACTTTTCCTTCCTCTCTTTTAGTGGAAAACATTTGTGTTTTCCTCTTGTAAGTTTCCACTGTTTCCCCTTGGAGTTTTGAGCTTTCCCAGGTTTTACTGTAGCATTCAAGGTTGTATTTTTTTTTCTCCATACCTATTCAATCTGTAGTTGTGGTGCTAGAGAAGAATCTTGAGGGGATAAATAATGTACACTGCACTGAAACGATGAGGGATAGATCTGTTTAAAAGGAGTATATGATTAGGTATCATTTGTATGACAACAGTCCAGAATAAGAGCTACATAGCAGAGTGGACTGTTGAGGGGAGGTAATAGTGCAAGGATGAAAGAATTATTTTTTCAAAGCGAGCTGGGTTAGGAAGGAAAATGTGCAACAATGAATGAATAGAAATCCAAGATCTCTATAAACTCATTAAAATCTCAATTAAAAATTATTTTTTTTAAAAAAAAGAGTCTTGAACATACCATGGACTAACAAGAAAACAAATAGGTCTGTCTTGGAGAGGGTAAAACCAAGTTTCCCTTTGGAGGCTAGGATTTTGAAGCTCTGTCTCACTTACTTTGGGCACATGGCCAGGAGGGATCAATCCTTGGAGAAGGTCATCATGTTTGGAAGGATGGAGGGACAGCGCAGGAGAGGAAGACCGTGGATGAGATGGATTGATACAGTAACTAGGGTATTGAGTGTAGGTGTGTCGGAGTCAGTGAGACTGGCTCAGGACAGGGCAGGATTCAGAGTTTGCTGTACATAGAGTCATTGTGGGTCACAAGCAACTCGATGGCACATAACAACAACAACAAATATGCAAAAATTATTAACTTTCATAAAGTAGAATTTATCCCTTTGTTTTATGGTTGCCTCTCTTGTCTTTTTCAAGGAAGAAAGCTTAAAAAAAAGGTAAATTTTTTCCTCTCCTCTCTACTTCTCATCTCTGTTAAAACTCTCAAAGACTGATTCTGTCCATGTATAAATTTTCCCTTAGCTTTTTATATTGGTGGTCTTGTATCATAATTGTCCTTTTGTGAATGACTTATATCACTGAGCATAACTTGTTGTAGTTTTCTCTGCATTGTGAATTATTTCATAAACTGTGTATCATTGTCATTGACACATGATCCTCCATTGTGTGAATGTACCACCATTTCTTTAGTCATTTCTCTGTCGTTGGCATTGTGAGCTGTTTCCAACTCTTTGCTTTTTGTAACTAATGTTTCCATAAATATTGGTGTCAGATTGTCAGTTTGTGCTACAGCTCTTATCTCTTTGGGATATAAAGCTATTAGTGGGATGGCTGGACCAAGTGGGATTTCCATCCCCAGATTTCTAAGGAAGCATTAAACTACTCTCCATAGCGATTACACTGTGTTACATCCCCACAATGCCTAAGGATGGCAAGGACTAAGGTTGACAGAAGAATTAATGCCTTTGAGTTGTGGTGCTAGAGAAGAGTATTAAATACACCATGGACTGCCAAGAGAACACACAGGTCTGTCTTGGAGAGGGTGAAACCAAGTTTCTCCTTGGAAGCTAGGCTCCATTTCACATGCACTGAGCACATGGCCAGGAAAGACCAGTTTTTGAAGAAGGACATCATGCTTGGAAGGATGGAGAGGAAGACCCTGGATGAGAGGGATTGACACAGTAACTCAAAACGTTGCAAATAGAGATACCATTTGACCCAGCAATTCCATTACTGGGAATATACCCTAAAAAGACCATAACCGCCATCCAGGCAGATATATGCACACCCATGTTTATCACGGCTTTGTTCACAATAGCAAGGAGTTGGAAACAACCTAAGTGCCCATCAACAAATGAATGGATAGAGAAGCTGTGGTATATTCACACAATGGAATACTATGCAGCACTGAAAAACAAGGAACTCATGCAATATTATTCAAAATGGGTGACCCTCAAGGACATTATGCTGGGTGAAATATCTCAGTCACAAAAGGCCAAACACTGCTGTAGAATGGGACTGACATCAGGGTTGGGGTAAGAATAAGAAAAACTGGATAAATTATGTATACTGCATTGAAATGGATGAGGGAGAGAACAGTTTAAAAGCAATATATTATAGGGTGTTATGATTATCATAAGAGTCCAGAATGAAAGTTGCAGAGTGGAGTATACTCGGGGTGAGGTTGGGGGGTGGGGGGGTTGTATACCAATGAAGGAATTTTACTTTTCAAAGAGAAGAGAAAGCTGGGGGGTTGGAGGGAAAGTGCAACAATGAATGACTGGAAATCCAAAATCTCTGTAAATGTTCATTAAAATGAATTTTAAAAAAAGAATGTCCATTTCTAACTAGTTTTTGGGTGAGCCTGATACTGGGGCCCATGGAGCACATTTTGAGCAAGATTGGTGAAGACACTCTCCCCAGGGCCCTGCACGCATACTACACACCACACGCACACAACACACACACACACACATACACACACACACACACACACATCCACGCATGTGTCAGCCTTTGTTCAGGCTTTGTTCCTTCCAGCAGACAGACCCCTGGGACCAGGTCTGAAACTGTGTGGTCAGATCCTGGGACCTTCCAACTGAGGGTAAAGTGAAGTAAGAGGCTGCACTGCCATTTAAAGGGAAAGTACAGACGTGATTGAAAAGAGCTGCAAGGACCCTCATCCAAGCATCACAGATTTCTGGGCTCCCCCTCTAGAGGCGGATAGCTGGGGTTACCCCTTAAGATACAGACGTCACAGACTCAGAAGAGAGGCGTGCTTTGTCTAAGGGTACACCCGGGGCCTCTGCTGAGCTCTCCCCCTTCCTGAATCGCATTCTCTGCTCTCCTCTCTCCCTGACCCATCTCCCCTCACCCTTGGCCCTCTTTCCTGTGAGCCAAACTGGGCCCTGGCTTTTCCAGCCAGTGCTGGAATGAAGGCTCAGGAGACTATGTAACTTGGAAAAGAAAGAGTGGAGGAAGGGTCAGGGAAGTGAGAAGATAGGAAACTTTGCCGGCTGGCCCGGGAGGAGAACACGGGGAAAGGCTGTACAGGAAGCTGAAGGTGGGGCTTTGCTGGGCACACAGGGACCTTCACCCAGTGAGGGTTAGCAGACAGCTGCCCCAGAAACCACACACTTCATTACCCCAAAGGAGCTGCAGGGCCTGAGATGTCGATTAGCCAGATAGTCCAAAAATCGACATCAGTCCTGGAGCTGAAATGACTCCTCGCTGGCCCTCCAGTGGGGTTTCTGAAGCTGTAAGTTGCACAGGAAGAGATTGCCCATTTTTCTTATCAGCAGTCGTTGGGGGATTCAAACCACCTGAGAGGTGTGACTTTCAGGATAGCAGTGTAACTCGCTACAGACCACATCACCACTTGGTGTGACTTCTCTCCATCGTACACTGTCTGAGGGCAGTCCCAGTTCAGTCTGGCCACCGGCTTTGTGGTGCACAAGGCTGGAGGTGGACAGTATCTGGTGCTGGCTTGCTGCCTTCACAGGCCTGCCTTCCTGGGCCTGCTCTAGTGCCTCAAGCCTCTGCAGGGCGCACGTGAGACTAACAACAAGAAGAAACACTGGGCACCAAGTAGCCTACCTGGAAAGGTGAGTCTGCGCAGGAAGTTCAGAGGTGCCAGAATCCAGATCGGCACACAGGGCCTGAGGCACCCCAGCCCTCATGTCACCAGGAGAAAAACTTGACCCGCTTCCCGACAACTTCATCCTGCAGCCGCCAGTCTTCCAGCCGGTGAGTAGCAGTCTGGCCTGGAGCCTCCTGGGACTCTGGGCCCTGTCCTTCTGCCTGGACCCAGGCTCCCAGCCAGTGAGGTAGAAAGGGGCCCACTCTCACTTGTACCTGCTCTGGAGTTCCTTCTTGAGTTAACAAAGTGGTTTACCCGCTAATTCTCACTAGGGTGTAAATGACTGCTGGGCCCCCAGAGTAATATTTTGAAAGCAGGCATCAGTCAAGTGTCCCTTGGGTGACTTCTTGGAGAATATGAGGGAGGCATGTGGAAATATTCTCAGGGAACCAGGACAGTACTTATTACCTAGGGGGGTTGTCTCACCTCCAGCTGTAGGGCTAGATCAAACCTCCAAATCAGAAATGGTAAGGGGTTTCCTCTCCTCCTGCTCATTGCTGGGACAGATTCACAGCAGACTCAACCCCCAAAAGGACCCCACTCCCGTTGAGCTGTGTCTGGGCTCGCCCTCTATGGAGCCAGGGCTGGGCCCTACCCCCACAGAGCTGGGGCTGAACGAGGGGCACTAATTGTTGCATTGCATTCACATGGGTCTCTCCTCCTCAAACAGCTGCATCAGTTCAGCTCATTTTAGATCAGGCCTGGAGTCTGGGAAGTGAGACCAGCTGCTACGCGGAGCTGAGCTGTGAGCTCCGACAGGCAGATCCAGGGAGCTGTACAAGTTCCAACAGCTCCTTGATCTACCCTGAGAGCTTCTGCCAGAAAGGCGGTGCTGATGGGCCTCTCCTCGCTCTTCAGAAGTGGTGTAAGCTTCTGAAGACTGCTAGGAGTTGCAAGAGGACATGAGAGGGTCAGTTTTGTGATAGTTCACGTGGACCTATTATACTGTTCACATCCATTCTACAAGCATCAGTGCAGAGCCCACTTTGTGTCAGGCTAGGCACTGAGCTTACAGAAGGGCAGGGATAGGCTTTGGATTTGAGAGGATCTGAGCTGAAAGCAGAGAGGACCAGAGGAACGTCTATTGGTGTTTCATTGACTATGCAAAGGCTTTTGACTGTGTGGGTCACAACAAATTGTGGCTAACCTTGAGGAGAATGAGAATCTCAGGACACTTAATGTGCTCATGGACCAGGAACAGTCATCAGAATAGAGCAGGGAAACACTGCATGCTTCAAGATCAGGAAAGGTGTGCTTCAGGGATAAATCCTATCACCATATTTTTTCAATCTATACACTGAACAGATCATTCAAGATGCTGAACTTCATGAGAAGAAATGTGGCATCAAGATTGGAGTAAGACTCATAAATAACTTGTATTGTGTAGATAGATGACACAACCTTGCTTGCTGAAACTGAGGAGGACCTGAAGTGTTTGCTGTAGAAGGTTAAGAACCACAATCTGCAATACACATTTAAGCTTAACATCAAGAAAAGATTGTGCCCACGGGACCAATTAGCAGCATCTTGATAGACAGAAAGAGATTGAGATTATTAACAATTTCAGCTTGCTTGGTTCCGCAATCAACACTTTTGGCACCAGTAGTCAGGAAATCAAAAGATGAATTGCACTGGGAAAATATGCTGACGTCAGGGATCTCTCCAGAGTACTGAAGAGCAACAGTGTCAATCTGGAGATCAAGGTGCACCTTATATAGGTCATGGACTTTGCAGTTACTTGCTATACATCAGAAAGCTGGACAGTGACTATGGATGATGGAAGAATTGATGCCTCTAAATTGTGATGGTCGAGAAGAGTACTGAACCACCAAAAGAACAACAGGTCTGTGCGTAGAGGGAGATATCAAGCTGCTCCTTGGAGGCGAGGATTTTGAAACTCCATCTCACATACTTCAGGCACGTGGCCAAGAGGGACCAGTCCTTAGAGAAGGACATTATGCTTGGGAGGGTGGAGGGACACTGCAGGAGGGGAAGACCTTCCATGAGATGAACTGACTCAGTGACTGGGGTAATGGGGGTAGGTGTGTCAGAGACAATGAGATTGGCCCAGGATAGGGCAGGGTTCAGAGCTATTGTGCGTAGGGTTACTGTGAGTCACAGGAAGCGCAACATCACATAACAACAATACAGTGGGTCAAGAACCCAACCATCTAGATCGGGGCGGGGGCCGGGGAATGGGCAGTAGGGAGGGGAAGGAATTCAGGCAGCAGAGCAAATGATGCTTGGAGAAGGCATCAGAGAAGATGGCAGGACACTTGAAAGACAAGTGGGATTTTACACGGTAGCAGGAAACACTCAGGGACAGGAAGGGAGTGTAAAAGTGTGCAATATATTTGAGGAATACCAGCGGCTTCTCTGTGAGAAAGGTGAGCCCAGGAAGGTGGTCAGGCCCACAGTTAGGTATAATGCAAGGTGTTCCTCCCAAGGTCAACTCTCAATTCCCCATTTGTTCACCCTCTGCCTCCAGCATCCCAGGCTCTGCTCGTTAGAAGGGTTTGGGAAGCCATAGTGCTTAGCTTCTGGGGGCCAGAATGGCATGCAGTGATGAGAAGCAACACTGGGGAACACTGAGCCCACTGAGCCTTAGGAATTAGGAGTGAGGGCTGGGCCGGTGCTCACAGAGGACGAGGAGTTGAACTTGGCTTCCTAGGTTCAAGGTAGTTTGAGGAGTGCTGATCCAGGAAAGGGGTGTCGGTAGGATAGAACATTTTGAGAAAAAGACACTTCCCCATAAGGACGCTATCTAATCTGGGGGGAAGTTGAGTTTTCTCGTTCTCCTTTGCCTCCCCCATCCCAGACCCAGCACAGGGGTTCCTGGGGTCTTTTCTCTAACCCAGCATGGGTGGTGTTTCTCCCCTTGTTCAGGTGGTTCCTTATGCCACAACAATTTTTGGTGGGCTGCATGCAGGCAAGATGGTCATGCTGCAAGGAGTCGTCCCCGAGGATGCGCGTAGGTGAGGAATGTGGTCCGTGGGGTGATGGAGTGGACTCTGGAGACCTCAAGCTGAGGCACCTCTCCGCCTTCTGAGCATCCTGGAGGTCAGGGCAGTCTCCACCCGGAGCTGCCATTCTAGGACCTGATTTCCCACCAGGTTCCAAGTGGATTTCCAGTGTGGCTGCAGCCTGCTGCCCCGGCCAGATATAGCCATCCACTTTAACCCTCGCTTCCACACCATCAGGCCCCACGTCATCTGCAACACCCTGTACGCTGGACGCTGGCAAGTGGAGGCCCGGTGGCCTGGCCTGGCCCTGCAGAGAGGGGCCAGCTTCATCATCCTCTTTTTCTTTGAGAATGAGGCCATGAAGGTATGAGGGAAGTACGGACACTGGGTCGGCCTTGAACTTGCATCTCTCCTCCCCTCTCTTCTCTCTCCACCTCTCCCTTCCCTCAGGCCGGCTCTCCATGCCGCAGTGTTCGGTGGCATTGATGGGAAGGGGCGGGTACTGAGAGGAGCTGCTGAAAAGGCTCGGGAAGCTGGCAAGCGCCCTTCAGGCTGCTCTGGACTCATTTGCCTAGAGCTCGTGGTGGTGGAAAAGCTCTACAGTGTCTATCCCCAGAGATCACATCTGTGACCCTAGTAATGACTTAGAGGAAAATGCCATTGTCTCCAAGTTGATTCCACCTCAGGGCAACCCTAGGTGCCCCACCATATGCCAGGCACTGTTCTAAGCCTTTTAAGCACATCAGCTCATTTCATCCTCATGACAGCCCCAGGAGCATTGCATTCTATTCTATTCTATTCTATTCTATTCTATTCTATTCTATTCTATTCTATTCTATTCTATTCTATTCTATTCTATTCTATT